CTTTTCAGTTTTCTGAACATGGGCTCTTCAGTTATTCAGTTCCTGTGCCAGAAACTGCTTTCTTTTTTACACGCTCTGTTCAGTTTAATCTCCACAGTAATCTTCAGGTTCATATTTTTAAATAATCTTTTTTATGAAATTCATTTTTGTACGAATTTTACTTATCAAGTTTTGTTTGCTTACAGGCTGAAAAAAGATGGGGATTCTTTGAAAGGCAATTTAGATTATTCAGAGGTTATGTCAGGGGAAACCAATGTGAAAGGAATAAATTTTGTTGTAGAAACAGAGCAATCGGAGAAAGATATTGCTGAGTTTACAGGTTTTGAAAATGACGTTGAGGAAGAGAAATCAGTGAGTTTTCTGAATTTCAAGTTTCCAAGTTTTGAAGAATTTAGTAGAAGCAAGAAACAAACAGGTAATTTATTTAATTCTGAATTGGTCCCTTTCACGAATACTGAGTTCATACCAGGGAGTAGTAGCAGTAGCGCATTCGTAGATGAACAGGCAAACTTTAAAGTGAAAGAAAATACGTGTAAAGACAGAAACCCAGATTGTTATGAAAACGAAGAAGAAACTATTGTTGTTAACGAGTGTTTGCTAGAAAAAACCTCGGAGAAATTTGATAATGTAACAGATGATATTCTTGTGGATGAAAAAGAAAATGTAGTTGACGAGAGAATAAAATTTTCTGAAGAGGAGGAACAATTGGTTAATGAAGAAAACAATTCTGGAAGCAATCATGGATTTTTGGATGAAGGCCAGTTCTGTTCAGAGAAAACTGATTCTGAATCATCAAGTTTTGAGCAACTTCGTTCTGTTATGACTAGCTCAGTCGATTCATACAATGAAGGCTTCCTGTCGGATGGAGAGTTTGGTTTTGATGCTTCGATGGATACTGATGGTGAAAAGGAGAGTTTAGATTCAGAAGGTGAATTGTCAGATATGGAAGAAAATCAGGAATTATCAAATGAATTTTATGACGAAGACAGTGATGTAATGGAAGAGCTTAGGCTATTAGAAGAGGATACGTTAACCTCAGATTTTCTGTCTGAAAACGATTTTAATGTAGATTTAGACAAGAAAAATAAGGGGCAATCAATGCACAAAAATGGCGCTGATAATTCCCAGCATCAGAAGTCAAAAGATTCATCATCGTCGAATTCTGAGGATGCAAATAAATTAGAGCCATTGTGGGAACATCAAGAATTGATTGAGCAGTTGAAAATGGAACTCAAGAAGGTTAGGGGCACTGGGTTGCCTACCATTTTAGAAGAATCCGAGTCTCCTAAGATAATGGATGACTTAAAGCCATGGAAAATTGATGAAAGGTTCCAACTTGAAGATTGCATCGACGAGCTTCACAAATTCTACAAGTGCTACAGAGAAAGGATGCGGAAATTAGATATCTTGAACTATCAGAAGATGTATGCAATAGGTCAGTCACATATTCGATTGGCCACAAGCATGTGTGGTTCTTTCGTTTACTACTGCCACACTGCTTTTCGTTCTTTATCTCGACCAAATTTCTAGATAATGATGACTTGGTTCTTTTTATGTGTCTATTAATTATCATATTTTCACTTGTTAAAAACCATCCTCCATGGATATGAATATGACTACCTATTAGCTGGGCTCTTTAGAAACAGGAATAACATGAATCTTTGCTGGTACGAGGCATTAAAAGCATTTT